CAATTCTTGTCCAATTTGCAACTTATACAAGTGTGATGTAGAAACTTGAAGCCACCAGTGCACATACACTGAGAATGGACTTTACAGTGAAATAGGAGACATCTTGTGTCCAGCAGCAAAACTTCAGATATAAACAATTTTTTGCATATTCTTAAATTCTGGTCATTTTTAATGCGTTAGAAGGAGTAGATGCATTTTTATGGGTTAGTATTTCAGTATGAAAATTCTCCTTTTTTTGCAGAAAAAACTTATCAGACACACATTATTGTTCCAAGCAGAGTATTTGTATATTATGTCTTAACACACATAGGGAGGGGATCTTTAAGTTCTGCTGGTAGCAAGGAGGATGATGAGAACCACAGAGACGTGGAAAGCCCCAGGTGTAAAATAAATGGCGTGGATTACATGGTCATGCTTGATGAAACACCAGTCAGATATAATCTCAGGGGCTCCGGTGTCAACACTGTCACTGCTCCTGTAGAGGAGAGATCACACATAGTGAGGTTAGCAGGTCATGTCTATTCTCAGCCAGGCTCAAGGCCAAGGTGCTCTGGATGGCATCACCAAGATAATCAGTGACACCAGACAACACATTAGGTAATTAGCTTAGATCTGTAGTGTTCTTGTTTATAAAGCTAATAACAATATTTGTGTAGCAGTAAAGATGATGATTACTGAAATGATGATGATGATGGTGATGATAAAACCCATCAGGTCTGAGCATATTTACAATCCTGGCTCATTCCCAGCTCAAACCTGAGAGTCACATCAACCTGATTTTGGTATATTCAAAGTATATTTGGCCTATTAAACTAAGCAGAAGGTGTCACTTATACTTGGCTTTTGCAAACATTAGTCTGGACATAACTCACACTCAGACTGTATATACAAGTGTTTACTCATTTTTCCTTAAAAGCGAGGCATCATTTTGACAAGATATAACTGTAAAATTTAGTCTATTAAGTAATTATATTTTATTTATTAAGTAATTTCACACCATGCATGCAGGTATTCTTATTTTATAAACTTTTAATTATTTATTTTCTTTAAGTTCCTCTTTTTATCTGCACTTATTCTCTCCTTGTAATGCTACAACTGAATATCCCCTCTGGAGGATCAGTAAAGGACCTTACACCTCTTATCCTCTTGTATCTTATAGGGAAGAACTGCAGAAAGGAATACAAAAGACTGAGAGTGATTTTGCGAAGTAGTTCGGGAGCCAGATCATTTTGCTTTGGTTGATGAGTACACAGAGACACTCTCTCCACACGGTGGCATGAGAGATCCGTAATACAGGAAAAAATACGGCCCTTATCTCATTCAAGAGTTTGTTGTGGAGCCAAAAAATAGTGCTCTGCTGGTCAACGGACTGTATCAAACTGCACTGGAAACAAAGCAGACATTGTCAGAGACATGGTCAAATTGATCAAAACAACTAAAACCTACCACTATATCAGTTTGACAGGGAGTTAAAGAGGTAATTTGATATCAATAAAGACC